GCGCACCTGGGCAGCCCGTGGACCTGTGCGCGCGCTACTACGACGAGGGCGCCGACGAGATCTGCGTGCTCAACATCTGCGCGTTCAAAGGGGAGGCCGCGGGCGACCTGCCGCTGCTCGGCGTGCTGCGGGCGGCGTCCGAGCGCTGCTTCGTGCCCCTGACCATCGGCGGCGGCGTCCGCGACTACACGGCGCGGGACGGGAGCGCCGTGTCGGCGCTGGACGTCGCGTCGGCCTACTTCCGCGCGGGCGCGGACAAGGTCGGCGTCGGCAGCGACGCCGTCGCCGCGGCGCTGGCCTACTACGCCGGCGGCGACGGGTCGAAGACGTCGCTCAGGCGCATCGCCACCCAGTACGGCCGCCAGGCCGTCGTCGTGTCCATCGACCCGAAACGCGTCTGGCTCGCGGCCGGCGAGGCGCCGCCGGCGTTCCCGGGCCTCCCGGCGGCCGCCGTCGCGGACCACGCCAAGTTCCGGGGCCCCAACGGCGAGACGCGCTGCTGGTACCGCGCGACGACGGGCGGCGGGCGCAGGGACGCCGACCTCGACGTCGCCGCGCTCGCGGCCGCGGCGGAGGCGCTGGGCGCGGGCGAGTTCATGGTCAACTGCATCGACTGCGACGGCAAGGGCGACGGCTACGACCTCGAGCTCCTCAAGATCGTCAAGCGCTCCGTCGCCGTGCCCGTGATCGCGTCGAGCGGCGCCGGCGAGCCCGCGCACTTCGCGGAGGCGTTCGAACTCGCGCGCGCGGACGCCGCGCTCGCCGCGGGCATCTTCCACCGCCGGGAGGTCGCCATCGCCGCAGTCAAGGCCCACCTCAAGGGGCGCGGCATCCTCGTGCGCGACTAAGCAATTAGGGCGGGTTCGCGTCGGTGTAGAAGGGCTTCTCGCGCTGCCGCGTCGCCCACTTGGGGTCGACGTGGCCGCGCGGGTGGTCCATGGCGTGGGCCACGGGCGGCGGCGGCGCGTTGCCGAGGATGGCGTCGCTGAGCTTCTCGGCGACCATGATCGTCGGCGCGTTGAGGTTGCCGTTCGTGATGGACGGGAACAGCGACGCGTCGACGACCCGAAGCCCTTCCGCCCCGACCACGCGCCCCTCGGCGTCGCAGACGGCGCCGGCGTCGTCGCCCATGCGGCAGGTGCCGCAGGGGTGGTAGGCCGACTCGAGGTGCTCGCGGAGGTACGCGTCGATTTGCTCGTCCGTCGCGCACGACGCGCCCGGCGTCACCTCCTCGACGCCCTCGAGGTCCATGTGGCCGACGAGCTCGCGCGCGAGGCGCAGCGCCGCGCGGTAGTCCGTCCAGTCGTCGTCGTGGCTCATGTAGGCGAAGTCGACGGCCGGCGCGGTTTCCACGTCCGGCGACGCGGCCGCGACGGCGCCGCGCGCCTTGGACCGGTTGCAGCCCACGTGGAGCTGGAAGGAGTGGCCCGAGGCCGTGTGGGGCACCGTGACGCCGTCGTAGGACACGGCCACGGGCAGGAAGTGGAACTGGACGTCCGGGTACTCCTTGCCCGCCGCGGATCTCACGAAACCGCCGGCCTCGAAGTGGTTCGTCGCGCCGAGGCCGTCGCGCCGCAGGAGCCAGCGCAGGCCGATGAGGAGCTTGCGCCAGGGCGCGAGGTACGGCGCCAGCGACCCGCTCGCGACGGCGAACTGGAAGTAGAACTCGAGGTGGTCCTGGAGGTTCGAACCGACGCCGTCCGCCGCGACGACCACGTCGACGCCGAGGCTTTCCAGCAGGTCCGCGGGGCCGACGCC